AAAAAAATAGATGTAATGTATTTATTTTTTGCTTTGGAATCTTAGTTATGTTTCTTGTATAAAAATTAATATGTGCTTATTTGTTTTATTAGGTTTCATGGAATGCAAAGGGTCAACCAATTGAACCTGGTGGAACAATATTCATTAGTTATCTCGGGTCCATTGTCCGATCTAACATTCCTATAACATGTGATAATTGGAAAGTTTCGACTCTAAGTGCCTATAAGAACATGGTTTGGAAGGATATACAAGTAAAATATACTAATTATATCTACTTATTTTAAATTAGTTTCTATGGTTAACCAACTTATTTCTATTATTACTTTTTTGACAGTTAACTTTTAATGTTGATGTATCACACAAGAAACATGTACTAAAGGTGGCAGGTAAATTGCTTAGGAATTTTAGAACTTACTTGGCTAATTGTTATCTAAAGGATGAGAATGGAAATTATTTAGATAGTCCACCTATTCAACCTCCTGAGCAGTATGCATCCATGATCACTGAGGATGTTTGGAGAAAATTTGTTGCAAAACGTATGGATGAATCTTTTCAGGTATAATATCCAAATATAGTATCTTTATCTTTTGATTACAATATGTACATATAACTCATTTACTACCTTTTTATACAGGAAATAAGCAAAAAAAACAAGGAGAGGGCATCACACTCTAATAAGTACCCTTATAGGGCCTCACGTAAGGGGTATGCACGCCTCGAGCAAGAAATGGTAAATCACTACATACACAAATATATAATATACAAGTTTCCAATATGAATTCTAACTTGTATGATTATTTTCACAAAAATTAGATAAAGAAATCAGGATCAAATGTTACAAGTGTTCCCCGTCAAGAATTGTGGAAGAATGCTCGTGTGAACAAAGCTGGAGAAATTGAAAATGAAAATGTTCAACAAGTATGGGATAAATGTGTAAGTAAAATATTTTCATAATAAAATATGACTTACAAATAGTTATGGTATGTGTTATAGCGAGGTTATATGCTTGATTTTTTTTTATTTATATATTTTAGGAATTGTTATCACAGAGTATACATCCAGAGGACATAACTGATGCTCGTTCAGACATTCTTTCTCAAGCTTTATGTGTCCCAGAGTATCCTGGTCGTGTTAGGGGTGTGGGATTTGGAGTCACTCACAAAGACTATTTTCCACCAAAAAAGCGACACAAACAACAGGAGCATGATTTATTAATTGCTCAAATAAGAGACATGAGTGCAAGAATGGCACGAATGGAAAAAGAGATGTTGTCACTTAGACAAAAGGACTCATCGGATAGTACAAAACAATTTGATGCTTGTAACAGTAGTGGCAAAGGGAGTTGCACAATCCCATCTAATAGCTTTCATGAGGTAATTAATTTCTCCATATTAATTAGCTTCAATATTTTAGTGTAATTTACTTACTTTAAATTCGTAATAGCTATCTAAATTTACTTACTTTAAATATTCTATAATTTAATTATGTTTTTATAATGTAGGGGGTCTCATGTTGTAAATTATTTGTATCATCACCGTTACTTTGCTTGGTTGCCCATGGAAAGTTGCATAATATTCAAAGTGATACATTGCATGGGAGATCTCTACCGCCACTAATTAAAAAAACTCATTAATACATCCTATTTAACTTATTTAATACGTAACGGTAACCATTAATACATTAATTAAAAAAATATAAGAACATTGAAATAAAAGTTAAAATCATGTCCTTTAATTTATTTTCTAATTTTTTCAAATTTTATTATTAATTAGTTAATTAATAAGTTATCTTAATTTTTATAATCATGTTTTATATTTTTTTTTATCCATCAAAATTACATTAACAACTACAAGATTCAAAACTAAGACCCTGTGATACTACCCAACACTTATATTTTATATTTGAAATCATCTTTTAAATATAATATCATTAATTGCCTAAATAGTCTAATGACCAAATTTCTCTAAAAATATAATATCATTAATTTCATTAAATAAATAATGTCTACAAATTTTTTTTTATAAAGTTTGAAAGTTATTTGTAGCAACGCAACATGTCACTACACTTACAATAATTCAGTTACTACTTGGTGAAAATACAATTTACAATATAGCTAGGATAATCATGTAACAATTATATAAATAACATGTAAGTTATATCTGTATAGAGTAGAATGATAAACTATTGAAAATAAAAACCATCATGGGCTATATACATTCCCTGTACAAACATATATACAACTATATATACCAATACATGACTGTATACCAAATGGACCGTACACAGTCGATTAAGCATCTATACACAACTTGGCTACATTAGAGTAATCATTAACAAAACAAAGTCACCACCAACATGACTTACCACTTATTGCACAATTTGTCCCGTTAATCCTGTCCTGTTTCCATGAAGAATCATGATTATCATAATCTCAATCACATGGGAAAACACATGGTAAGTTTTTGAGAAGAATTCAACATATAATCACATTGATAACACTTAGCAACTTACAACTCAACATGTCAACTTTCAATTTTAAGACAACATGATTCAACCACATCTCATTATCTTTTGACACAACAATAATATCATCAGAAACAACTTATAAAATGTGACCAACTTAACACATTCAACATAACAACAAATATAAATATATCACTAATGTGTCATTACTCATCAACGTATGGAGATCTCCTACAATTGAGGTTAGTAGTTTAAATGGCTAGACTCTACTGAATCATAACGATTGGTAATAACCAAGAACAATGGTTGACACTGAGGCCAAAAATAACAGCTAGCATAAAACTATAAATAATGACTATTATAAGCTAGATTGATTTCTCATATTTTACCACTTAAATTAGGAAGTCTAATACTATTATTAGGGTAGAACAATTAGGTATAGGTCTACCACAACATTAGTTTGCAACACTAAGTTATTTATGAGATTACCCCACCGACTACTTTCCAAGTATTATGCCTATCTGATATTATGTTGGAGACTATATAAGTCCCTAACCTTAGGTTTATATTGTTTATTAGATATATCTTATGGTGTCTTATTTTCTATTTTTGATCTTAAGGGAAGTTCAAACTTGTTTGAACTTAACTTGACTACTTTCTTTTAAGACAAAATTAAATTATGAGTCTTCTATACTTTTTTTAAACCCTCTTCTACTTTGTATCTAAAAAATAATATGATCAAGGGTTGTTTAGGTAGTTTCCTTGCTATGTTCACTTTGTTTTTTTGTAGACGCCTAGGTTACTACACAGGGTACCTCAAGCAAGATACCTTAGTTTGTATGAGTATTTCCTTAGTTTGTTATAGTTTTAGTACCTTCACATTTTTAGCATTTAGTTTTACGCATATACTATATTATAGTGAGGATCTTATCCTTATCCTTATAGAGTCTATCTTTCCTACTTTAGGGAATGTTGTTAGGCCTATAGAAGGAATTCCTCATAAGGTATATTTTCTACACATATTACATGAATATATCATCTGTAATGCTTGGTTTTCTGTTTCTTCTTGTAAGCGATGTTGTCTATGTGGAAGAACCACTTGATTTGAAGACAAATCCTTTTGAAGAGGGAGGGGGTGATGGAAGCCTACTTCCCAAGAATCCCTTTGGAAAAGATAAGTCCAAGAAGGGTTAAGGTTGATAAAGTTGGTTTGAAGAATTGTAGGGCACTTACCCTTATTTTGAAGGGTACTCGACCCTTTGAAGGCCTACCCTACCTTAAAGGGCTCTTATAGTTGTTATATATTTTTCTTACTTGTAATTAATTTTAGTAGAGATTGAATTAGTATATTTTTTACCTTATATTTTGGATCAAGTAGTGTAGATAATTTAATCCTTGTATTGTTTTTACTTAAGGGTGTAGTTAGTAGTTTAGGGGAGGTGTAACTAACTAAAGTCATGATAGGCTTATTGGGCTTGGATGGACCAAATATTTTTATGGCCCACCCCATAGGTTTGGACATCTACTTGCTTATGCAAGTGGTTTGGACATTCAAACCATGCCAAGCTTTCTATCCAAGTTCTAAATTAAGTTACATGAATTTGATAGTGATATCTCAACAACTTGTTAAAAGTAATCATTAGTTTAGTAGTTGTAATGATTAGATTAGATAGTTGGAGTTAACTTAAGCTAACTTAAGTTATTCTTAAACTATGATTAACTTAGCTTGCTCCATAAAGTTTCTAGACAATTAACTAAACTTCTAGTCATTTAACTAGAGTTAGTTAGCTTAAATACAAGATACCTAACCATGGTTACATTTAAGCATGGTTAATCTAACTTGTACCACAAGCTAACTGAACTCTATATATTGTATCTTTGTACTCATTTTTGTACTAACTTTGAGATTTATATTGAGTTGGCAAAGTATTCTTTCCCAATTTCTCTTTCAAAGATTGTTTCTCTCTTTAAAATTATTTCTTTTCTCTTATTCTCTCTCGAGTGTGATGAGAAGTTGAAGAGATTTATCACTCTTCAAGTGTATGGTACCACCAAGGAGACTCTCTACATCATCTTCTATGGTGAAAATGGCTTATAACATCCATGGAAGCCATTGATGAAGCTTGAAGGAGTCCAAGAAATGTAGATCCTTTTCCTTAGAAACCTGAAGGAGAAATTACATCAATCTTATTCACTACTAGAAAAATTAATATTTGTAACGAATTTTGTGACGGAAAAATTTTCGTCTCCAAAAATCCGTCACAAATTTTTTTTTTGATTCAGTGACGAAATTTGTGACGGATTTTGTGACGGAATATATTCCGTCTCTAAAAATCCGTCACAAATTTTTTTTTTGATTCAGTGACGAAATTTGTGACGGATTTTGTGACGGAATATATTCCGTCACAAAATCCGTCACAAATTTCGTCACTGAATCAAAAAAAAAATTTGTGACGGATTTTGTGACGGAAAAATTTTCGTTTCCAAAAATCCGTCACAAATTTCATCGCTAAATAAAAAAAATGTAGAGAATAATTTTGTTTCCACTTGTTTATGTCTAGGTGTGAGTGTGAGCATCTTAACCCTTATCGGGGGAACCTTTTATGTGTATTGGACATCAAAGAAAAGCAAGCTCATGAAACTTAAAGAACATTTTTTTCAAAAAAATGGTGGTCTGCTCTTGCAACAAGAATTAGTTAGGTATAGTGGGTCAGCTGAAATGACTAAAATCTTTACCATGGAGGAACTAAAGGAGGCCACCAACAATTTCGATGAAGGCACAGTCCTAGGCCAAGGTGGCCAAGGAACAGTTTACAAAGGAATATTACCTGACAATAGAATTGTGGCAATAAAAATGTCCAAAATTAGCAATCCAAACCAAATTGAGCAATTCATCAATGAGGTGATCTTGCTTTCTCGAATCAACCATAGGAATGTGGTGAAGATCTTGGGATGTTGTTTAGAGGCAGAAGTTCCCTTGCTCGTTTATGAATTCATCCCCAACGGTACTGTTTATGAGCATCTTCACAATCAAAGCCAATCTTTAAGACTTACATGGAAAACACGATTGCAAATAGCAACAGGAAGTGCTGGGGCCCTAGCATACTTGCATTCTGCTACCACTGCATGATGAGGACATGGGCAAGGATTTAGGAGCACTCAAAGGACTTGGAGGACCAATGACTAGGGCGAGGACTAAAAAGGCCAAAGATGCTTTGCAACAAGTTACGGCCCTCATTCTTGAAGAAATGCCTAAAGATGAAAACAAGGCCAAGATGGTGAATTGTATCAAGGATTATGAAGCCTAATTACTCTATGGTGTTCTTAGTAATTGTAATTAGTAAATAAAGGCCTAAAACTCTTGTTAAAGTGGCTGCCAACTCTTTTTGGGCTGCACCACTTATTGGGCTAGTTTTTTAAGCAAGTTATTTTTATCAAATAAGGCCCAAAACCTTTGGGATGAGTCAGCCATGAGGCATACCAGAGGGGTGCACGAATTTAGCATGTGTTTTATTTAATGTTTTAGTGGTCATAATTGTTAGGCTTAGTGGAAGTTCAATAATTGCCCACTAAAGTGTTTTTTTATAATATTTTGTCATTAGTGGTCATAATTCAGGCTTAGTGGAGTCCATTATTTGTCCACTAATGTAAGTGAAGGTTGTTGATTGTAAG